GGATTCGAACTGCTGACCTTTTGGTTAGCAGCCGCAGCACTTAACCACTACACCACCAGGGTTTCCATCCTAAAAGAAGGCACTTTTCTGGTATTTTAGTGCAGTTAAGGCTCACATTAAGTTGGCTAGAACTTATAGTCCACGTTCTTATATGGCTACTATATCCTAGGTGAGAACCTTGACCTTTCTTTTAAGATTTTTTGAAAAACAAAATTTGTCTCTAAACGCACTTCTTCAACATGGAAGTACAATTAACTGCTAAAAAAATCCATTCATACAGCCCACTTTATAAAGCCTAGCACTTTATTCCAAGAATATGATAAAACAGGTATAATTTTTTTGTGCATATTCTGATTAACCAGAAGCCAATCATCTCCTATACCATAACCACAAACATTAACACCCAATGTAAAATCATTAGTGCAAACCTGGACGATAAAGTTCAACTCCCAACAAAGCATTATTTATTTCAATTGTGATTGAAATAAATAAGCATACTTGGCAGAATTCTTTAGATAAGTTCTTTCTTCAGAGTACAAGGGGAAATATATATATACATATATATACACATACATATACACAATGTATTACTCTGGGCTTCAGAGACATACAGTGACAGATTACAAAAATGTTCGTAATTTGTTTCAAATTAAAAAGAATAAGGACAGTTACTTTCAGCAAAGTGGTCTGGAAGAAGTAAGAACACAAGTCTAGGAATTCTTCCAAAAGATACGATAAGTTATTTATAAGAAAACAACAACAACAAAACAACAAACCAGTTGCCACGGAGTCAATGCGGACTCATGGCAACCCGTGCGTTTTAGAGGAACTGCATTCCGTAAGATTTTCGATGGCTGTGCTCTTTCAGAAGTAGATCGCCAGGCCTTTCTTCTGCGGTGTCTCTGGGTAGATTCGAACTGCTCACCTTTCAGTTAGTAGCCAAGTGCTTAAGCATTTTCGCCACCCAGGGAGAAGGGGTGTGATATATGGGAATTTCTGGGTGCTTATAGAAGAAAAATCTAGATACCCTGGGGAACTGAGTAGTACTACCAGTCTCCCAGTTGTAAAGCATTGCTGTCATGTTGGACAGCCCACCTTCTAAATATATTTCACTAGTCACTAAGTCCTGCCTTTTAAATACCTTTCGCTCTTTTCTTCCCTGTTCCCAAAATGGTAAATCCTAGTTCAGGTTTCTTTCACTTAACCCCTCCAGAGCACTGATTCTGGAGTCAGACAAATCTGGGTTCCAATTCCAATTCCACCACCACTCACAATAATATAGACAAGTGATCCTGGGCAACCTGTTCAACCCATCTGCCTCACTTTCAAAATGAGCAGAATAATACCTCCCAGAATTGCCCGCTTCCAGGTCTCTTTCCGGTATGTCTTACTTACCTAATGCTGCTGTAACAGAAATACCACAAGTGGATGGCTTTAACAAAGAGAAATTTATTCTCTCACAGTTTAGGAGGCTAGAAGTCTGAATTCAGGGTGTCAGCTCCAGGGAAAGGCCTTCTCTCTCTGTCAGCTCTGGGGGAAGGTCCTTATCATCCATTTCCCCTGGCCTAGTAGCTTCTTGGCACAGGGACCTCGGCTCCATAGGATGCGCTCCGCTCCCAGCTCTGTTTTCTTGGTGGTACGAGGTCCCCCTGTCTCTCTGCTTGCTTCTCTCTTTTATATCTCAAAAGAGACTGACTCAAGACACAACCTCAAGTTGTAGATTGAGTCCTGCCTCATTAACATAACCACCTCTAATCCAGCCTCATTAACATCATAGAGGCAGGATTTACAACCCACAGGAAAATCACATCAGATGACAAAAGGTAGACAACCACACAGTACTGGGAACCTTGGCCTAGCCAAGTTGATACACATTTTGGGGGGACACAATTCAGTCCATAACACTGTTTATCTTTCCAATCTCCTTTAAACCTACACAACTCTCAGCTCAAAGACCACTTTCTCCATAAAATCTAAGATCTTCATCTTGCAAATGCCTTAATCATGCCTAACTTCAGATTTTTTTTTTCTTTTCTCATTCATTTGGCAGTAGATGCTGCACCATCTTGTGATCTCCCATCCACTGCTGACTCAAACTTCTAATTGGATTGTTTTTGTTTTTAACTTTAGGTAGGCCCTCTGAGGACACCGGCTGCATCTCCTTCCTTCAACAAACATTTCCCAAGATCTCACCAAGGGGCAAGCACTAGAGATGCAAAGTTTAAAACAAGGGTCCTTACTCCTGAGGAGCTCACAATCCAGTGTGGAAGACAGACATAATTATAGATGCATGTAAGAAACGCTATCTAGGATTAAGTGCACATTACTAAGGGCAAGTAGTGGAAGAATAAACCAAAAACCAAACCCACTGCCTGCCAGTCGATTCCAATTCATAGTGACCCTAAAGGACACAGAGTAGAGCTGCCCCACAGGGTTTCCAAGACCGTAAACCTCTAGGAAGCGGACTGCCACATCCTTCTCCCACAGAGCTGCTGGTGGTTTCCAACCGCCGACCTTTCCATTAGCAGTCGATGGCTTTAACCACTGCGCATCCAGGTGTCCTGCCCTGGAAATGGTTAAGTGCTGGACTACTGGCCGAAAGATTGGCGGTTCAACCCACCCAGAAGCTCCTCTGAAAACAGGCCTGGTGATCTGCTTCTGAAAACCCAACAGAGCAGTTCTACTCTGCACACATGGGGACACCATGAGTCAGAATCAAACCGAGGACCACTAACAACCACAGCATCTCGAAGGCTTAATGACAAGAGGGGGAAAGGAAGAAGGGAAACAAGAGAGCAAAGGGAGAAGGCACCCCGGCCCTGAAGCAGGGCCTCACAAAAAGGAGATGCTTAATAAACATTAGTTAACTGTAAATCTCAATTGCTCACATTAGCATAGGAGACTGGAGAAAGAAAGCAATGCCAGATAACGCAATGCGGCTGAAAACTCAAATCACCAGTAACTGACTCTGAAAAGCACTAAATAATTTATTTGCTTCTAGCAGAAGACTTACCTTACTAACTTGTCTGTTTACATTTAAGGGAGAGGTTCGGGGTAGTAAGGGTTGCCCTGGGGAGCATGGAGCGGTGGAGGGGTGGTGGAGAATGGCCGGGGACACGGGCCGGAAGCGAGGATAGTGGGCAGTAACAGGAAGATAGAAAGAAGAAAACAAGGGGGACGGCGGGGCACCAAGCCGGCGACAGCCACCGTCTCTGAACCCTCCAGGCCCTGGGCCCGGCGCCTCTCCACTGGGGCAGCACTGGGGGAACGGAGGGGAGGGAGTTTCCCAAGCTGCAGGAAACCAGACCGTAAAACTGCAATCCACCTGAGCCATGCAGGAAGATCAGAGAGGCGGTGTGCCTCCCAGCCGGCAACACCATACACCGCTGCAGGCGAGTTGAACCCGACGCCATCCCAGCTGCCGCCCGGAGAACGTCGCGGGCCCCGCCCCCCGGCCGTCCGACGGGCCCCGCCCCTCCGCCCCTCCCGCGGGCCCCGCCCTTCCGACCCTCCCGCGGGCCCGCGCACGCAGTACGTGGACGCCGCGCGGGCGCGCGCCTGGGAAGGCGCATGCGCTGAGCAACAGGCGCGGTTCTGGCTCCAGGACTCCTTGAATTCTTTGGGGTGAGGGCTTAGTTGTCGCTGTACCGAGGCTTTGATTTTGCTAAGAATGAAACAGCGTCAGCGTCATAACGGATATTTCTGTGTGCCGGACATTTACTATAGGGTTTTTAACTGCAATCTTGAAATTCAAGATTATCTTTTCGTGTGGTATCGGTGTTATTATTATTTTTCCAATTTGACATATA